TGCATATTTAAGGTAGAATTCTACATAAGAACAATGGGAGAGATCCCAGCTCTGCAAAAGTTACTGCTAGTGCTTTCAGTGAATCCAGAATTCCACATCATGTCTTCCCTGAGGATAAACAGACTCACCTGGTCTTAAAATCAAAGAACCTATTCTCATTCTCACATTAATAGAGTGGGAGAGCACATAGCCTCATTGACTGAGGACATAGCAAAGTAAAAATAATATGAATTGTAGTTGTACCTCTTTTAAAAATTTATAAAATTTTAAAATATAAATAAGAACCAACATAACTTTTTATGTTCTTCAACTAACTAGAAAGAGGCATGGATATTTGGTATATAAGAAAATCTTTAAATCAAAAATCTGTCTCTATATTAGTTTCTTGGAAATAGCCTGCTGGCACTCATGCAGGATTAAGAGGACCTTAGGTCAAAACAAATGAGAGAGAACTGTTTGCAATGTGTTGGTGATGTGAATAAATGTAAAAGATTCCTGTGTGGAATCTGTCAGCTTGCAATTTTGTGACAAACCGCAGGATTATTTTGGTTCAGGATTCTGCATTATGATATGGAAACTGCTTTCCAACCTAAAAATAATATATTTTCAGCTAAGGAATCAGCATTTTATATTTGGGCACAATATACTGTCACATTGTGTGATGTTGCTAATGATGTGCTATGCAAAGCTGATGAGATACTGGCTACTTACAAAAAATGTAAAGTGACATTCTGTGCACCTACCTTCAGCAGGAAAAGTCCTTGTAACATATGTCATGTAGTAACAATGATACAGCCAACTGACACCAATTAAAAAGTCACAAATGGTTGCTTTTCTCTAATGTTCAAAGACCTCAAGGAATTTAGATGTGTACATTAAGGATCAGATGCTTGGTTGCATATTCTACAAACTATGTTTTAAACAAATCAACATACAGATGGCTGTGACAATAACTACCAGGAAAAAGTGAAGGGTGAACTGTCACAAAGTTTGACAGGCCATTGCATATTGAGAGTCTTTCCCTATTGCTCTTTGAATAGTCAGTCCCACAATATTTCTATACTCTGTCTTGCAGGCAGGTGGAGGGTGGGTAAGTATTCTGATTAAGGCAAGGGACAGGAGATGCATGAAAACTGCAATAAATATTTTTATCCTTCTATAAGTGCTTGCAGTTTGACCTTGGATAAACATTTAGTCAGTCTGACTTGGTTATCTGCATCTGCAAAGCTTGGATACTTCAACCTTCCAATCTAAAAATTTTCTGCATGTTAGCGAGACACTGAGGTACCATGACAATTGAATTACTACCATAGGCTGAATTAATTTTTTTTTTTAGCAAATTTTGCAGGTTTTTTTTATGGTTTTTGAAGAAAAAAACCATTTAATGGTTTTTGAAGAAGCTTAAATTAACAGAAACCTGTACAGTAAATTAGAGAATCCTGAACTAGTGACACTGAACAGGAAACAGAAACATTTGGGGACAAAAGGATTAGTAAGTTCTCCAGAGAAGAAAAGAGGTGTGAAATACACATCTGGCTTATCCAGAAATACTGAAAAAAAGGGAAAAATGGAAGAAAAACACAGCATGTGATAAAATATAAAGAAAAGCCAAGAAAGAATAGACACGTATTTAAAGTGCCAAGGTCACTTTTTGGAAGGCTAGAGAAATGTACTTGGGATAATTAATGACAGAACTCTCCTCTGCACACAAGTAATCAGATAGGACTGCATCTATTGATAGAGTTATCTGTAAAATTAATGGAGAGAAACACTATTCTCAGCAGTTATGACACTGAGAAATTTTAATTCTCAAGGTATATGCTGGAGAACAAATGCAACTAATAGCCAAAGGAACTCTGTATTCCTAGATGTGTTTAGCTGACATGTTTCTTAATCAACTATCCCCCAGAAGTACTTTTGGTGAAAGTAACTTTAAGTAATTGACATGGAGTTAATTAAAAAGTAGATTCAATTTAAATTAAAGGGAAAATATACAAAACTAGGACAGTCAGTAAGGTTTGGGATTTCAGAAAGATCTATTTTGATATGAGAATTAAGTTGTAAAGTAAATTTTTTTGAAAAAACCTTGAATATAGCCAATCTGAACTTAAGAACTTGAGGTTTGCAGCTTTTCCAAGTCAAAAGTGATTAACTTTTGACAGTAAGATATGTCATGGATAAAGAGAAGAGACCTTACAAAAAGAGAGATTTATATGTGCATAACCCTCTCAGAACATGCATAAGCAGAGGCTATATACATAATAGGAAGAACGTATGAAAACAAAGAATGTAATGTTTTAAAGTCAAGCTGGGATGGAGTTTGCTAGGAGATGTAAAGTGCCTGAAGTGTCTTAAAAGCAGATTGGCTTTCACCCCACTGCTTCAGCTAGAAGACTATTCAAGATTTCCTGTGAACAAGCAATACAAAGCTTTTTTTTTTTCCACCAACTTCAAGACATTCAGGACCAATTTCACACTACTATTACTAGGAACAATATTTACTTCTGGTTTATCGCTCTCTTCTTCCTTTCTGACATTCTCAGGAAAAGCAGGTCATCTCAACTGTTTTTCTTCTGCTTTTTTTTCTTTAGTATACTTTTAGTTTCATTGAATTGTTGAATGATGGCAAGAGGAACTGTAGCCATTACCAAGGTGTACTATTATGAATAGTTCCCTATTGCTGGCTCTGACCTCTCACTTTGTAAATTTTTGCCTTTCTTTGTGCCCAAAACAGTGCTGATCTCATGGTCACCAACTAATAATCCTCCTACCAATCCTTCTTGAGTTGTTTCCCTCGGATGATTTCCCAAAATAAATATGCCTATCAATAAACCATTAGTAATACTAGGATGAAAGAGAAACTAGTTCAGATGAAATATTATGTTGATTAGTCCCAGCTGAGGAACTGGAAACAAGTTTTCAGTTACTACATTTTTCAGGAAACTGGAAGGACATTCCTAAGTCACTGCTCTACCAAGCAGTAAGACTCTGGTGTCCTCCTAAACATATTGCAGTAAAAAAAAAAAAATCCTAAACAGTTTTTAGATTGAGTTAATAACTATAAAAGGCATTATATGATGTGTTGTCTGTAATTTGAATAGAAGACTCAAAATGTCTTCTCCCATTGTATGTTTCAATTGATTATTTTCTTTCCATTATTAGATTTCTCTCCATATTCTGTAAATAAAGAAGTTTTATTTCTCCTTAAGTCTTTGATTTACTTTGAAAAATACAGAAAAGCTGTCTGGCAACTTTTCTTCATGTTTTTGTTTGTTTTGGTTGGTTTGTTTTGTTTTTCTAACAGAGAAAGGCCAGTCCTACTATTGATGCATCATCTCTGTTCATCTCCTTGAATTTATGGTTCAGTTTTAAGCAGCAGTTTTGAAAAGACAATGACATTTCCAGGTTTGAACCCTGATAAAAAACATGACACAGAGGGAGAAGGAATAAAATGCCTGGAAAATTAAGACTTATGGCAATGTAATGACCCAAGAAGAAAGCACTTCCACTATAGAGAATTCCCTACAGTAATTTTGGAAATCTCATTACAGACATATCTTCTGTAACTTCAAGGATAGTTTCAAATACAATTTCCCTGCATTTCTATGTAATGATAAGAAGCTCTATCTGCTGCTTAAGGCCCAACTCTTGAACATCTGTAATTCAGGACATTGTGTAGAAAAAATAAAGAGTGTAGTATGCCAATTAAATCTCCCAGAAGACTGGATTACCACAGTTTTGTTTGATCATAGCCTTGTTTAGTGTTTTGCAGGGTAATAAATAGCAGAGAGATTTAATACGCCTGTGTCTTCAAGTTGGAGTGTTACAGTTTCACTTGGAAAGCCAATATTAGCTCTTTCATGTTCTTAGGGAGGAAGAAAAAGAATAAGGAAGACCCTTGTTCAAAATGGCTCAACAGCTGGCCTTTCCTTTTGAATGAAAATGAAGGGGGAAAAAGGAATCAAACCTAGACTTTATGATCATACTCTCCACTGTATGATCCTTTCCTCAAACCTTGCTTCCTTTAGCAGCTGAAACTAGATGCCATACTTTATTTTTAGCTTTTTAGAGATGCCTGGTGTTACTAGTTTGATGACAGAAGAGCAGAGGACAAGCATACTTCTTGATGCAAATAGTTAAGGAAAAAAATGGCTGGTGGCTGACTAGTTTAACCAATTTAAAATTGTCCTCACAGATGTTAAAAAAAAAATTATAAAGTAATTTTTCTGAAACTGCTGCTGGGCACACAGTACATCAGTAATTAAAAAAAAAAAAAGCCAAACCCTATATAAAGGTTACCAATATGTATTTAATAGTATCTACTATTTTCTCATTAATCTGTTTTTTTCTTCAAAAAGAAAATATATTAATTTATCTATAAAAATGTTATTGCTCTTTTGAAAAGATTTCTGCTGACTGGCCTGTTATTTCACAGGATTAATTCTGGATGAAGGGAAAGCTACCACCCTCTGATTGTTTCTCTTGGGTGCATATGTCACCTTTCCTTTAAGTTAATAATTTCATAACTGGTGATATGGCTGATTTGCTCATGAAAATAAAGGCACTCTGATCCTATATGTTATTTATCATTTGGTTTCACAAAAGGAGCACATTTTGATGTACAAATCCATTCTCAAAAAAATCTGATTCCTTGCTAATCCATAGAATATTTTGATCTTTACTGGGTAATGAAGTCTTCATTTTTATGTGTAAAAAAAACTCATGTATAATACAAACAACATTATCTCTAAAACTGTGATACATCATCATACATGCAAAACCAAAGCCTTGGGTAAGACAGACTGGCAAGTTAGATGAACCACTTCAATTTTCCATCAATCAAATTATAGTTTATTGTTCAGCTGAACTACCTCAGGCAACACAAATCTAAAAACTGTCATTTTGGAAACATTACATTTTTTTTCTGTCACATTATAACCCAAGCCAAAGCCATAAAAAAGAATGTCATACCATTACTGACTGTAATATTCCTTAATTTAAGAACAGCTAATTCATCTGCGATATATACAGTGTTCCTAAGATTTTGAGCTTATAGCAGTGTTCAGTTACAGTAATCTTATAAAATCCATTAGTACATGTATTATTTTTTAAATAATGGAGATTTTTACAAATTCAATTAAGAACAGAATGGTTGTTTATAACAGCATTATAATGTCTACATTAGAAATAAGGTTTACATTTCAGAATCATCTAATATTTCAATTATTTGGTTACTATGAACCCTAAATTGTCGGGAATTTAATTCAAAATTAGGTTTCTATGGCATACACTTGATGAAATAATGTGATGTCCTTTTTCTATTTCTTTACAGCAATGAGTGTCATCACTCTAAGACTCAGAAGATAAAAATTAAACCACTAAATGTTACAGGTATGTTTGTGTTCTGTCACCTAAAATGCACCTATGTCCCTTTTGCTATTTAGTCAATAGAATTCCCCTAACATTGAAAATGTAGTGCTTGTACATTTTAAATGTTCTGTTTACCACTTACCCTAATTTTCTGAATGATAACTTTATGGTGTTCCTTTATTTATCCACATTGAAGTGCATATATGAGTTAATGGAAGAGTAAAGGGTGAGAATTACAATGAGAGGTTATATTTCTTCCCTTCTTAAAATATATGGCATTAAGAGTGTGAAAAGAAAGAGAGTTGCTAATAAAAGTATTCTTCCCTCACCATCTATATGCTTAAAAGTATAATCATGGTATCCTAGGAAATCATAAACTTAATTAGGACACCACTCTTTAAATAATACGTGATGAAATTTAAAGATAAGTGAAATGCTGTGAGAACATACACTCCACTGCAAAGATATATATCATGAGGACACCTGTCCCCCCCTTAATTGACTACCTGCTAAAAGAAAAACCTGCTAAAAGAGCAGATTTACTGTGTAGTGAGGCAGTGAATTTAAGAGGTCTCTGCTGAATAAAAAACTGGTTCCATTGGTTGAGCTGGGCCATGTTCTTGAGCAAGTTCAGACATATTAACCGAGCTTTTATGTGTTTTTTATGCACCATTTATTTTTGAAAAATCAGGAATTTTCACTGCAACAATTACTTATGCACCAAAGTAATAAAATTCTGGTGGTTGATAGTCACCACATATATGCTAAGTACAATCCAGCAAGGATTATTGTACACAGTTTCTATGTACATGCAAAAAGGTGAGGGAGATGAGTGCAAGACTACTAAGTGTAAGAAATTTAATCATAGTGTTTGCATTTCCTTTTGGTTTTGCTTTTCTTTTAATCAAATTGGTTTATTTCATGTAAGGTGCAAATTTTCCTAAGGAATATATTTCTGCTCTTGTGATTCTAATAATTACTGGTTATATTCATGGATCCAGTTACTTTTCTATTAGTCTAGTACACTGCCAAAGGTAGAGAGTAAACAAGAATCAGATCCTTACAGAGCTTTCTTTAGAGGATTACACTAAGGCTCTCAAATGCACCACAATTTTTTGGGAACCAGAAATACCAGTCCTAAATTTTCTGGGCATATTACAATTTAAGCCACCCTATTCATTGAAAAGCATCATGCTGGCAAGTATCTTAAGAAGCAGTTAGAGAAGGTAGGCACCAGATCTTTTCTAACTAACAAATCTGTAACTTCTAGTTTTATGTTTGTTCTGTAACAAAAGTTTTTCTATTTTATACTATTTTGTTTCTTCTCCTAAAAAAGTTTTTCTTTGAGCTGAAAGAGGTCTGATCACTTTTCTGTGATTAGATCTGATTCTCAGTTGTGAATTTTCCGGATCTAAATGAACCCTAAGAACGTGCAAACTTTATTCATAAGGTATGTAAAAGAGAGGCAGGAAGAGAGTATCATAAAACTAGTTACAGCAAAAAAATTTGACTGACCCGTCTAAAACTCAGTAAGATGGGTAAAATTTGCTTCCTCTCAAGTGAAAACACAGTTTTTGTGACTCATTCCACTGACTTATGAATATATGTATATTTTCACTATGTCTATAAAAATTCTTGTTTTATCCTGTTTTACAGGAAGCTGGACTTTCTTACTGTGTTACTAGCTGCTGGCAGTGGAAGCACCCAAACCTTTGGCATATTCAGCCTTGCAATAAAATCCAGGGTGTTTCCTAGATACACTATAATTAACTTCAAATGCTATGTTAAAATTATGTTAGGGTGTGACTTAGACAAAATAAAGCACTTCTAAGTGAAGACTGATGTGCAATTCTAAATGCACCCTTTTTTGTCCATAGGTACTATAAATACTGTAGAATACAATAGATAGCACCAAATCAAAGCAGTTTATGTCCCTTAAATCCTGGATTTTAATTTTACAACATGAGATAGATTATTCTTGGTGGTATCTTTCTTTTTCCATTGTTTTTATTTTTAGCTCATTTAAACTCTTGCTGTTTAAGCTATGAGAAAAGCCTCACAAGTCATAGGCACATTTTGCCTAATTGCATTTAGGATTAAGCATTAGGATTTGTTAGTGTGTAATTGTGTTGGTTTTGCTGGGCCTGGTGTGAGAAGCTGCTAGAAACTTCCACAGTGTCTGGCACAGCCAGTCTGTGATGGCTCTGAAGATGGACACGCTGCTGGCCAAAGCTGGGCCAATTAGAGATGATGGTAATGCCACTGTGATAACATATATAAGAAGAATATGGTTGGGCAGTTAGAATTCCAGCCAGAGAAAAATAGGAAGTGAGAACATGTGAGGGAAACAACATGGAGACACCCAGGTCAGTGGAGAAGGACGGCAGGAACTGCTCCAGGCGCCAGAGCTGAGATTCCTCTGCAGGCTGTGGTGAGACCACGGTGAAGCAGCTGTGCCTCTGCAGGCCACGGGGATCCAGGGGGGAATGCAGAGATCCACCCACAGCCCCTGGGGGAGGTGCCCATGCTGGGGTGGGTGGTTGCTTGGAGGAGGCTGTGATCCAGTGGGAGACCCAGTGGAGAGAGGGGCCGCTGTTTCCAGGCTGGAGCAGCCTGTCCTTGGAGGAATGCACCCCATGGAAGAGTGACCCAAGCCACAGTAGTTTGGGGAGAGTTGTGTGCCCATGGGAGGGACTCACACTGCAGCAGTCTTGTCAGGACTGCTGCTCATGAGGTTTGGAGCCATGCTGGAGAAGTTCATGGAGAACTATTTCCTGTAGAGACTCCCTGGTGTCACAGGGGAAGGACTCCTCTCCTTCAGCAGCAAAAGAAAACCTCAGGTGACAAACTGACCAGAACCCCCATCCTCTGTCTGCCTGTGCTGTTGAGGAGAAGGAGGGAAGGGTTGGGGGAAGAAAAGGCGTTTTTTAAGGGCTTATTTTACTTCTCATTATCCTCCTCTGACTCTGTTAGTAATAAGCTTACTTTGTACCTCTAAGTTGAGCCTGTTTTGCCCTTGGAGTGTTTTCTCCTGGTCCTTAACTCATGAACTCTTTCTTTAAATTTTTCTCTTCTCTGCCCAGCTGTAGCAGGGGAGGATGAGTGAGTGGATTTTTGGGTGCCTGGCATTTGGCCAGTGTCAAACCATGGCTGTAACTATGAATAAAGCTTAATAAAATTAACATGGAGCTCTCTAGTAGGTAGAACCTGACATTATGAGTGTTTGCACATACCTGCTTCAAATCCTTTATAAAGGCTATCAGCCAGTACATTTACATGGATGTTCTCCCTTCTAATTTGCAAGTACAGTTTCTAAAGTAATTTTTCTCATTTCAGTCATGCCAGTGAAAGAACTTCTAAATGTGCCACGAGCTTTATGGTTCTTTTCTTTAGGAACCATATTCAATCAACCTATTTTTCTTTTCTTCCAATGAGTTTTAACTGGGCTGCTTCCAGGTAAGTTTATTTTTGCCCGTTATTTTGTATGGCTGTCAGGGTGTGATGCAAAGTGCCCAGGTTTCAGTGCCATCTCAGCCTTGAGACCTTCCCCACTGCCCTCACTTCTGGGTGCTCCATGCACAGGAGAAGGAAAATAGACATTGCTATCTCTCTATGCTGTAGCCATGTTTTGAAGGGGCAGCAGCAGGGCTCAATTGTCGACTCCATTCACTCATCCAGACCATAGTGTGCCCAGCAGAGCTCCCTCCAAGGTGAAAGGCTTTGTTCTAAAACAATGGACCTTTGTCATCATCAACTGACACACCACACCGTGAGTCACATCTCAGCTATGTCCTCTGTAATGTGCTTCCGAGAGAACTAATATTTTATACTTTTCTCTTATTCCTTTGTTAACCACCTTATATTAGGAAAAGTACAAGCAGTAGGAAACGTGGATGTACCTGCTGAAATGGGTAAAAACTATATCCAAGATAAAGAGCGTATAGCAATAACAGTCCAGAAAAAACATGAACCAAAATGAAAATGTGGATGCATCTTCAATAAGAACTTGTGGACAGGTTTCATTTATGATACTGTTGTAATGACATGATCTCAGACTCTCCCTTCAATTTATAAATAGTGAAAAAAAATCAATAAATAGGAACTCATTCATTTTTTCATTAAGCCAATGTGTTGGTAGAGAAATATGGCAGATCCCCAGGTATTCAAATGCTGCCTACAGCTTGCCCCTCTCTGAGATCCTTTTTCACCTTTGTCACATTTTAAAAATGCTTTCAAAGGTGACAATCAAACGAGGAGACAGTAAGGTTTTTAACAAGGCAGTCATTTTTAACTATCAAAGTTCTTTTCATTCTCTACAGATACATATCAAGTAAGACTGGATTTGTAAATTCAGGCCATGGAATTAAATACAAAAAAAAAAACAAAACAAAAAAGAATTGCTTCTGGCATTATTATTTTGGACTGATTGGATCATTGGACAATGTTCTAAAAAAATTTTACAAGTTTGAGTCCAAACAGATCTTTTAGAGAACAGGCTTACAACATTACAGACACAAGTTAATCAAAGCAAGACTTTCTCTTAGGTTGGTGAGCAGAGGAGGCATATAGGGAAAGGGAAAGAGAGAAAAAGTTTCTTTAAACAAGTGCATGCAAAGAACTAGAAAGTACTTTGATACTACTTTTTCCCCGAATAAAAATGTGGTCTCTTTTATGGAGGATGAAGCTGTAACTCAGTATCTCTGTGCTTCTTAGTGTGTTAATCCTATACAAATGATGAGTATGGAGCAGTACCAAGGATGAAATCTTACAACTCTTTCATTTGTTAAGACATGGAACACTATTTTTTACATGTTACATGAAAGAAAAAAAGCTATGAAATACCAAAGAATATAAAAACTAGAAGCCATAAAATGAGGGGTAGACTTTGAAAACACATCATATTGTGGGAAAATGACCCAAATGTTCTAGTTTTTATGAGGGTGCTTGCTCCCCTTCTGACCTTTTTTCCAGATTTGTATTTGGAACTAGAAGGATATCTTTCCCCTTTTGGAAATCTCTTTAAGAAGGCCTGTGGACAACATGTGTTGGATCAAATGTTTCAGAACTTTAAGGTTTTTCAAAGCCTTTTTTTTTTTTTTTTGATATTGCAGTTCTTTTCATTACTACTCATTTTGATGATGGTTGGTTGAACTGTATGGGAAAAAATGTGAACCTGCTCAAAGATCATTGGTTAAAAAATCTGAACCAAACTGAAGCACATATTTTTCATAGTATTTCTCTGTTTCTGTTTTAGAAGCTCAGAAGCACAAGTGGTGTGTGATTTTTTTGTGCATGTACGTGTGTCTTTGTACGCTTTTGTGTCTTACACATAAAGACGATGTTTGACTATGATATAATTAGCCTGAAGCTGATCCACACTTCTCTACCATGGCCACTAGGCAGAATGTGACTATCCCAAAGACATAGAAGTTCTTTCTGGATATGAAATGAATTTTTGTATTCTTAGTTTATTCATAATTTTGTATTGTTGTTGCCCTCGTTGTAGTATTTATATACATATGCGTATATACAGCAAGTGTAAAGTAAAAAATATCAACTATGTAAATATATATTGTATATACTTAAAGATTTCTGAAATTCTGAAATATATTTCCCAAAAAGTTGCACTTATTCTCTTTTATATATATATATATATATATATATATATATATATATATATATATGCATATAATGTGGTATCATGTAATGCAGTATCAGATTCACTGGCAAAGATCTGTTTTCACTAAAGATGACAGAGTCAAACTCTATACCAACCAGACCATTGTTATAAGTATGTATAGCTACTGAGACAATCAACAGAACTAAATAAACTGAGATATAACAGTATTGTCAAAAAAGTCAAATAAATCAATTTATTGTTAAAAGAGTAGTCAACAATTATTGATATTTCATGGTGGTAAGGAAAGAAGTAAGCTGTGTATTTTCATGCAAAAATTTTTAATTTAAATAATGGGAAAAGCATTCTTATAAGAAGAATAGTATTTGAACAGGTTATTCAGTGAGGTTGAGGAAGTCCCTGTAATGGCTATTTTTAAAGAAGATTAGACAAATGTCTGCCAGTAATGCTGTGTAACTGATCCCATACAGAGCAGGGGTGTAGATTAGGTGACCTCTTGAGGTCCCTTCCAACACATCTCCATGAAGTTCTGATTGAAAAAAGCCCAACACAAATATTTATCAGACTTTTTTTTTTTGTTCACATAGTTGGTTACTTTATGATTCTGTGAAAGAGCAATGAACTGGAACTGACAGCAAATGTTTTAATTTGGCAGTTTAGGGGAAAAAAAAGATCTTTGCACTTATTTTGATGTCTGTTACTGGCAAAAAACACAAATGAAAAGCTGCCAAAATGTCTTTGAGACAAATTCAGCCAAGTCGTTCTCTTTCAATATGAGACATATGATTAGGTCTACAGCCAATCTCTGAACTCTTTACTTGTATCTTTCACATTACCACTTTGAAAATCTATTTTGATGTAGTATACACAGAGGCAGATATGCACACCCACTTTCTTTAAGCAAACTTAGAGAAAAATATGACTAAACTTTTATTATGCTGGTGCTTAAAAATGTAAAGTTACAGTTAGCATCGCTGAAGAAATCCAGAATAAGGACAATGGTCATTATCTATTCATTAGATATATTAAACTACTTCTAGTTGATAGTTTAAACTGCACTCATACAGAATCATCTGACTGCCATTACAGGAAGCACCATTACATGACATTTACCTCTGAAGTCAGGAGCTGCACATCAAGTGGTCACAAAAAAGTTGAAAAATACCAGCCTCTGTTTTGGCTTTTCTTCAGAAAAAGAGTAGACAAAGCCTTGGCAACTCCAGCTACAGAGTGACTTCAACCACTTTATTTCCAGCCCTTGTGTGAGTGTTGGAGAAAAGAGTCAACCTCATGGGCATCTTGCACTCTTTGGAATGAAAAGGCTGGGATTCCTCATCCTTACACACATCAGATGGAAGAAAAGCCTCTAGTCAAGGCACTTTCCTAATAGCCAGGAAAATATGACCATAGCTGCTGGCTGTGATTCTCCACAACAGTCAGAGAAATGGACTTCCAGTTCACTTCCATAAAGTCAAGAACATTCAAACACCAGTAAGGTAAGTGCCACATTTGATTTGATTGAGTGCCACATTGGGTGATACCCAGATGTACTGAAGTTCCAAACATAAAACCAATGCCAAAAATACCCCAACCTTTTAGTTCTCTTTTCCAAGTAAAGAAATCTCTAAGCTTTGCTTAGAGAAGACATTTTGAAAAATTATGGCTCTTTCAAGACTCTGTTATTAAGAAGTATGATGTCACAGATAGTGGCTGGAAGAAGGGTATTTACAGCTACTTTTTTTTTCCTAAGGCTTAAAGTTGTTAGGAAGTTATCCAAGTTACTTAAAGTATTACAATAATGCCTTAATCACTTACACTCCTTTTCTTCCTACCATCATCATGAACAAAACCAAAAGCAGGCATAAGTCAATTTTCTCCTGAGAATCTCACAAAACTGTTTCAAAATTCTTATTTAATCTATATATTCCAATCATATTTTATTGCTTCTTCAGCTTCTCCTTTTAACATCTTTTACCTAACTTGTTTTCAAAATTGTAACTTTCTGGATTTAATTTGCCTTTGAATATCTTCCAGTTTTGACTAATAGCTTCACATTCAAAAGTCTTTGAACAGTTATTTAGTTGCTTTGAACTCCTGAAATTCAAGTGTAAACTTATTTGTCATCATGATGCATTAGCACTGAAGAATTGCAATGAAATAAGAAGCGGCCTTATTATTTGGACTATTAATAACTCTTAGGTCATCTGTTAATCCTTCCTTATTTTTAAAAAAGGTGAGTAAAATTGTATTTAAAATATAACAGTACCAAGCATGTTTTTATGAGGCAGGATGCTAACTGATAGAGCTCAGCAAGGTTGTAAACAACTCTTACACTGCACACAAGAAGATTTGAAATCTCCTCAGAATCCCTTTCTTCTACAAGCCATGCCAGGAACAATAAGAATTAAGTGTGCTGAAACTTAATAGTTTGGAAATGCTCTGGCGTGGGTGTAAGGCAAAAACAAGAGGTTTTTGAAAAATTCAGGACAAGTAGTTTGCATACAAATGAACAATTTGTTCTTGAAAATGTTCTTTCCATCTTGTTTTACTATTAAGCACAGTCAAGGACAATTGTTGGTATAAATTTTGATTATTATCATGAAAACTTTGGCAGTGAAAACCAGTGAGAACTTACTGTGGGAGGATGTCGGCCCTTCCAACTTTCTGGTCAACATCCGGTAGCAAATGAAAAAAAATAACCCCAAAAAATTAACTCCCAAACTTTTATCCTACATATGGCAAAGAATAGCATTTTTAGGATCTCACACTGCATAATCTTACTCATATTACTAGTACTGAGCCCTATGTGGTAGAATTTGTCGACTCAAAATTTTAGGAAGCTCCATTAGGTAGAACAAAAAATTAATTTTAGGATGAATCTTCAATATTTGGCTTTTCAGTGCTTCTAGCCATTTCATATATTTTTGAATACTCTTGTACAGGATTTTTTTTTTCCTGGCTGCAATTTCTATCTCCACTTATACTAGATTTCTGCACTATTGGATACTACCTTGATTTTCTTCAATATCAATATGCCATTGCATTACTGCTGAACTGCTCAAAGGACACAGTATAGCATTTATATAATTTTTCTTCTCTTATAGGGGTTTCAATTCACCTGTAGAAGGAAAAATGACACCTGATCAAACAAAAGGTTGCTGGTACAAACATAGTAATGACATAGTAATGATCGTGTACCAAATGAGTGCTTTGCGTCACGTGGCTGTGGCATTTCCAGTCCTAGATCAAGAGCTCTGAAGTAAGATTTACTGTGTTGTCAAGCCATGGCCTGAGGGTTTTAAGGAGCTTGATTAGAAGATTCATACTGTCACATACTAGGATCTGTCGAGTGCGATGAAAGGTTAGTATTTCACACAATGATTTGCAAACCTTCAGCTGAAATCCAGTAGGTTTTGGTTTTCTTTTTTTTTTTTTTTTTTTTTTCCCTTGGGGAAAGTAGATTGTGTGTATTTTTTCTCCAAGTTTCACTAGGTCATTTGCAATTGATACCACAGCAACTTCTGGTCAACATGTCCTACATCCTTTTCTAAGAAAACAACTATATACTAGCTCATAATAAACTTGTTCCTACTAGTACTCTAGAGTAAGCATATTAATTCTTAATGTTCAAGGTAAAATTTTAGTGAAATAAGAATTATAAATAAGGACAGATCTCTAATGTTTTATATCAGGAAAATTGAAACTAGAAGCTGTAGTCAGGTGTTTCACTCCTTTACAAATGGTGTAGTTCTGCTTCAAGATAAAAGTGGATCTCAGAAAGGTTTATTCAAGTAAGAAAAATAGCTTGACTCAGTCAGGTCCAGATAAAAGGAAGGTTGTTTCTAAATCAAAAATACAAGCTGTCTTTCGGGACTCACTCCTGTCTAGCACTGAATGTTCCCCCAGTCCTGTTTGCTATTAAATGCTACAGATTCCTACAGAAGTTACAGAGACATGTTGCTAAAATCATGAATGTATATTAAAAAAATCAGAAGATTTTGCCTTTGTGGTACTTTTACTATTTATTTTCAATTTAGTTTTTTATTTTCACCATTTTTGGTAAGGCATTTAAGTGAAGTATCCGGACTGTTACTGGTAATAATAATTTTTTATTCTGCCCCTCCCCCCAGTTCCTTCTAAAAAGTAATTTTTCAAAACAAAACCCTATGCCATTTGACATGGGAAGTGTGACTGCTATCAAGTGGCCGGGTATCAAATGATTTACCCCCCTTATCTATTCTCAATCTTTTCTTTCCATTTGCTTTACTTACAATGTAAGATATGCTACATATTTTGGGAGACAAATTCTTGGAGATGTAATAGAAAAATTAATGCTTAGACTAGACACATTATTTAGAAATATTTGTTTGACATAGCAGTTATTAACAGTTTTTGACTTAGCAATTATTAACAGTTTTACCAAGTATACTATTATGGCCATGTCATATTATGCACTTAGACATTCAAAAGCATATCCCTACTCTAAAATGTGATTTGGTAATTTTTTTCTTCAGTAAGTGAGCACCTTCCTTAAAATAAATTATAGGGTTTCCCACCATGTTTTGAAGATCTACAGAGGTTGGTGTGCTTGTAAGTTGCAAATCTTAGGGCTGAGAGATACCACCAAATACAAACCAAATAACCTTCACAGATAAAGCCTTAAACTAAATAGCACTGCAAATAAGAAGCCAACACAGTCTTTAGAATAGTCACATGAAGCAGTCTGACTGTCTAATAAGCTGCCTGACTGGCCAAGAATACCAGCAGAAAAAAAAAATCACACTTCAAAGAACCAGGAGGGTGTCTTCAACAAGTCAGAAATTGGTTTTTGACCTTTCTGACTCATGTAAGCTTTCTGGATTCCCACCTGTGGTTTCTTTTCTAAATGATTTGATGATAAAAAGATAATATTTTTTCTTCTTTTGAATTGAAGAAACTCCTCCCTTTTTGTATTGACTATAACACTGCTGAAGCCAGCTCTCTCTAGTATTGCCCTTTCAGGGGTAGGAATAAGAACTGTCTCTGCTACATTTCTCTGCATTGCATTTCCTACAATATTAACAGCCTGAATAGTAGAAATCTTCATTTTAATTGCACATCTATATATAGTTGCTGCAAAATGAGCATTATAACCAGTTTAAGTTTGGGGTTTTTTTTTTGGATTAGATAAATTCAACATGAATGATGGTTTGTTTTTTTAAAGAAATAAGACATGAAGTTTAAAATTCAGCATTGACTGAAGTTGATATTTTCAAAAGGCAAGTTAATGTTTGGAGACTGTCGTTTTCAACATCTGGACAGAGGCCTGATTTTTGAAAGTGCTGTCAGTCATGACTCTTTTAAATGGACACCACTCGTCTTAATAAAAAAATTGCAAATATCTGGCCAGACTCAAAATCTTGGATTTAACTCATTTAGGGGTTTATTTTTGCTTTAATGCAAAATGCCAATAAAAGCAAAACTCAGGAATAACCACCATTGTACTCTGTTTTTAATTATATGGAACATGCTAACTGAGTCTTCAAAAAGTACTAAGGTATTTTAAGCAAAGCCTATGTGGTGCTCAGGTCAGAGGATCTGCATATGCTTAAGATGCTTAACACTTCACAAAATGAAACATCTGGAAGTGTCCTGCTGTAGAAATAGATTAAAACATAAATTGGAAAGAAAATGCAAGTAATAAGAAACACAAGATCTTAGACTCATTTGGAACAAAATGACTGAACCAAAGATTGGAACCCATAACTGAGATAAAACTAGCGGGTGACTTGTTAAAATCCCCCACAGGATGCTAAGCAATTTTTTTTCCCCAATCCCTCATTTTTATTGAGAACAAGATAACCTTCTCCCTCAATTTGTGATCTCCCTGCAAATAATCAAGAAGATTACAACTTCTTTCTGTTTTTAACTTTCATCCTGCTGAGAAACTCTGAAACACTTTCAGCGGGTCGCCCAGACAGCACTAGTCATTATGTATAAGAAGAAGCGCTGGTGAAGTAGTATATATGAGAAATGGAAAACAATTTTGATGGTTGGAGCTTAAAAATCATACAGAATATTGCTGAAAGTGCAATAAAAAGTAGTACTGAGAAAATTTGTGAAGCTGTGGAAACAGAATAAAAAAGTCAGTTGTTGATCCAAGGAAGTACTTTGTGTTTTTTCTTTCTAAAATAGTTGTACTGCTTAATAATGTAAATAAGGTTTTCCTGTACTGTAAAGCTCTGTGTTGTCTTGCATTTGCATAATACTTTCCTAAAAGACTGCTGTCTCCTTCTACCTAAGGAAGAAGGAAGTGCTATCTAAGGCGGACCTATGGGGAAATTTTCTTTTGCTGACTCCCCACTTCATTCTCTATGATGCAACAACATGTGTGGGTCTGCCCTGCTTCACTTTTCTCCTTCTTCCCTCAGACTCAGATTTCTGACCAACAGCTTCTACATATTGTGTGCCTCTATCTTTTGGTGTACTGGATGTGTTAATTGTGAAGAAGAGTCTGAAAGCATCAGTGGGATATCAGCTCATCCTCATGTTTTTACTGTGGCTTGAACATTCACAAGGATCATTCTGGCTGCAAAGATTTTCAGGGGGGAATTTACTGGTTTCCTGGGACACAAATGCAAGGAAAATCTAATTTGAATTTGAAAAATGTAAGATGAAGAGGACACATTTCATAGCTGGATCCTTTTTAACCTCTATTTCGCAGCATTTTATTTATATTTTGTAAGTGCTTTAGAGGAAATTAGATTTGTTATCTAGACAATTCATATGCAAAAACTTCAATTTTTTAAAAGAAAAATCAAATACTTTTTTAACTGCAAGGATCAGCTTCTATACTGACCTTTATTAAGAGAACACTTAGGTCAGGATGGAAAAACTTTAAATTGAATATGGCTCCAGAATACTTCAGATATTTAAAATGCCCTATTCAGTGTTTATGACTGTGGCACAGTACAGCAAAAGTAACTTCAGTGTATTGTGAACAAGCCCAAATAAAGCTTCTAGTGCAGTTCTCATAAAACCTCAACTTTCATTACTGAGAGCAGAAGCAGGCAGCCCTAAATTAGTAATAGCTGATGTGTCATTAGATTTATCTTCTGCAGCCTAGGACCACTTCTATGTGCCATGATTCATTGCAGGTTCCAATGTAAATTATGAATCCAGGAGAAACTGGTACTCATACATTGCAAGTTGTAATGGCTGGAATTTGTGTTCTTCGTCTTTTTCTTTCTTTTAACGATGGACATTAGGTTAGCAGTAAAAATACTGTTTCAATTCCCATCTCCTTGCACTTGTTTTATCAACATCCAGGGTTGTTCCTCCATTGCGCAGAAGCTTTCTCCTTTCTCTAAGCTATGCACTAAAATGACCTAAATTCAAAAATTAGATTCTCCTTTCCTCAGCCTTCCCCCGTGCTCAGTTGGTGAGTTTTGTTCCCAAAATGTTGAATTCAACCCTAGAGCTGGCCAAATTCAGTGCAGAGTGAAGTGATTTCCATGCTGCTTGTTCTGTGACTCACTGTGAAGTGTGGGTTGGTATGGTTTTCAGAGAGCTGACCTTGCCTCAAAATCTGTTCTCATTAAGCAAAATTCCCAATGAAATTCAAAGCACAATTAATGGTCACAGAATTTTGCCAAAAGCAGTAACCACTAAACTAAATGAGACAGCGTTGATTATGCAAATAAACAGCCACCCTGGAAAGCTTGTCTGTTGCCTAAAACTATGCACTTCTAGGATTATTTATGTTATGATACTGATCAGAACTGAAATATTATTATGCTAGATCCTATATAAAAACAAATTACTGGATTGCAGTGTGATTTGATAAACGATTCAATAAGTAACAAACCACAAAGAAGGGTCTTAGTTCTGAGGAAATTTTGTGCATATCCAGTTTTTTCCTTATCTAGCAATATGTATAGTCTTTAAAATTTTGTCTCTAGTAATTGAAGAACATCTTGAAATTGAAAATAGATAACTCAGTTCTGGCAATTAAATTAAAAGGTTTGCCATGTGAAAGCTGGTGATACTGAAAGCATAATTATTTTATTAAGGAAAGCATGAACTTATTATTGGATGCCAAAATAGGGCATTCAGCGCATTTCAGTGGATTACTCTTTTGCACCAAAGTCTATAGCAAAACTAGAAAATATTGCACAAAATATTCAGTTTTTAGTTGTAAATTACTGAAATGTGCACAGAGATTACAGATTTGGTGTCTCAAAAGACAGACCACTGAAGGAACCATAAAGCAGGAGAACAGGTGTTTCACCTTGGAAAGAAAGATTTAACTCTCATCATTTATAAAAAGAAAGTGAAAGAGCCACTTCTGAGTCTCAGTCCTTTATCTCTTCTACTCTCTGGTTTGCATATGTACCTATTGGCTCATTTTAGAAGTCATTTCTGTTTTAGTCAAAAACCAGAAACTTGAAGTGCAAATGGTGTACTGGCTATACAAGAGAAACAGTTAAATTCTCCAAGTTCAAAATACTGTTTCATTAACAAAGTAATCTGAAAAATGCTATTTAAGAAACTATGTTCCTGCAGATGCAGAAAACTTACAGTTCAGTCCCAAAATAAGTCCACACCAATGAGAGAAACAGACAAGCAAGCTGCCAGTAAGAAATACAACACTTGAGTGATATTCATCACAACAGTAGTTTACACAAAAGGATCTTTGATCAGAGGACTAATAGCAAAAAATTATGGCTTCCCTTTAAATGCTATGGGCCAGCAGATCTGACCCTTGCTGTATGTAGTGAGCTCTGTATTGTTGGAATCTTAAATTCTTTAGCAACACAACGAGCTAGACTGAAATACTGTAACAGGCCTTGAGCTTTTCATCCACACGCTATACCTGCACTGCCTGCCTGCCATCACTCTGTCCAGTGGTGGCAAATATACATCACACACTACATTTTTTAAATATGTAGCACTCTAGTATTTTACTCAACAACACTGTACACATAAAAGGCCTGACAACAGATTGGAGTTTCTCCCAGGAAATATTAGGCTCATACCTTCGTTCCTTTTTTTTTTTTTTTTTTTTTCCTCCAGGTGTTTTTCTCTTTTTGTCAGTGAATATGATAATTTTTTTTGAGCCTAAAGTACTTTTCATTCTTCTCTCCTTTTTTTGGGTTCTACAGTCAGGGAACAAGAAATTGGGAAATTTTTAATGGGGATAAAGAAACCCCCAAAGTCATTAATTTTTCAAAGGATTCACTTAGTGAATGACTATTGCAAATGCCTCTATAAAAAAACATTGCAGTCTATTATTCTGTTATTCTTTATAAATTTGGAACTTATATATATTTTCAAATTTTTCAAATTTTATTTTTTATGAAAGCTACTGGGATTTTTTTTTCCTTTCTCAGAAAAAGACACATTTTTAGCTGTTTTAGGGCAAATTTTCAAAACAATTAGCGGGAGGTAAGGTACATATATGAACCCAAACAACAAAGTTTAATATCATTTCATCAAGATGATATGCATAAGGAGGCAAAGTATGAAACATATCTTGCAAGTTCTACCTTTCCCTTCTACCTTAAGCACTTTTTTGAAAATGTAACTCAGAATAGTCTTTCAAAGGAAGGAAACACCATATTCCATGTTTTCACTCATAATAAAAGAATATAGTTATGAAGCTTCTCAAAAATAGCAAACAAGTAATGATGCATGGTTGCCTTTGCTTGCCTCAAGTTGCTGTTCTATGTGAAAAGAGCATCATCTTCCTCCTTCAGTGAACACTGCATTACAACAGACCATTTCCTGCATGATCAATTATCCCATTACAGTGTAAAAACAAAATTAAAGTAAATCCAAACAGTATTAGAGTTTTGTGTATTTTTATAGAAAACAAAGCTGACACAGCTTTCTCAGCTGAAATTGTAGCCAATACTTATACAGTATAATACTGTTTACAACAGGTTCAGCCATTGCATTGCACCTGCTTTTTCAATGGATTAGGTAAATGACCATCAACTGATAAAGTTTTTAAAATCAGCCCTTTAACTTGTTTAGAAAGGACTGGAACAAGTTCCAGGATTTTTTTCTATAACTGTACATTTTTAACATGGAACCAAACTATAAATTGTGAAAACCCACACTGTGGACTGTAGTGACATTCTTGCTAGGTCTGTGGTTATGGAAGTGGTAGGAAGGGGATGCATACAAAAAGAAAAGACTGGAAGTATTTTCTGCATGCCTGATCTTTTCCTGCATTGCCTAATTCAGTGACAGTCATAAAATCTCTCCAGAGGTCTTTGTTGAAATACTTGAAAATCTATGGGTAGCAAAAGTCAGTCTTGAAGCATCTTTAACACTTGTTGACTGAGCATTTTTTCACTGCTTCTGAAATAAATTACTATCAATAACACAAAGTTAAACAGGAGAATTATAAGGTAAATGCTCCATTTTTGCAGTTATTAATTCTGAAAGAGGTTCATCCAGAGGTTTCCTCTTTCTTGAGGAAATGGACTAAGTAGGACCACCTTTTCTTCAGCAAATATCAGTGAAGGAAAAGGTTTGATATCCAACTCTGGAAGAGAAGGGCCAACTTAGTTCTTGCACATGCTGTAAAGCTGGAGACAGCCCAACCAAACCAAAGCGAAGGGCAGCTGATGGTAGGTGCACCAAGGCCAAAGTTTTTCATGGAAACACATGCACAGATGCAGCACCACCAGAAATAAAACAGCATAATGCAGCAGGTATGCTCAACACTACCTTAGAGTTTTTGCCTTGGGCTCTACATGCAGAGAAATCAAACCTCCAGCTGATGCAAAAGGTCTGTGTGATTTTGCAATAGTGTTTATCTATTTGTTTAAGGAATTCTTTCACACAGTCTCTAGAAAAGCAAGTGAATACTTAAATCGTATGTCATGCTGTATCTTCAGCTACAATGCTTACTGCTTGAGTATTCCTGCTTCATTTTGCATAAACTGACATCATATACTGAAAGAGGGCCAATGTGCTTCTCAGAAACCAAGTAGTCATGAGATTCACCTGGCACTACAGATATGCACATGCACACACATGTACACACATGCACACACACAAACACACACGTACGCACACACGTACACACACACGCATGCAAAAAATAGGAAAAACGACTCAGCAATTGCAAGAGTCGCAATTTACCATGGAAGCCTCTACTTAATATTCCGCTTGATCTGCCAAGTTTATAGCCTGGCAAATCTGAATACAAATGTCGATGCAAATGAGGATTCATTATTCTTACATCGTCTTTGTGTTGAAGCTTAATGTAACTTGGTTCCTGTGGTTGCTCAGGGAATGTAGATTGCAAGACAGGAGGAAAAAAAAGCCTCGACAAAACCCAGAGAAGCAAATAGGGAAAAGTAACAGAAATGGAAATAAATGGAAGAAAAAAATATGCTAAGGTTTCAGACAGGCAAAACATCAAACCAATGCATTACATTCCCCCCCTATTTTCTTATATAAAGTACATTTGCTTATCATTATCAGCATAGAAGGAGTTAACTAACCAAGACCATTCTCCACAGAGTCAAAACATAACAATCTTCCTTTTACTGATTATACAATATTGTGCCCATTGTAAAGTCAGTGCTCCATTTATCTGAAAATTTTAGCATTCTTTCATAATTATAGAGCTCATCAGCTGGTAGAACCTGTACATTTAGATCTGTGAGAAGATTATAAATGAATTTAAAACCACCCCACCATTTCTGCTTCTTTCATTATAAATTACTGCTGAATAATTCAAAAACACGTTAAGAAAACTACAGTACGATTAATAAACTATACAGTGAAAATCACAACAGTTTAAATCATACATTTATTGTCCCATTTATAGCCCATCACAAGCGAGGGTTGAAAAGTACCAAATTAGAGAAAACATGAAATATGCTGCAAAATTATAATTAGATCCTCGGTGCCACACAGTACATTGTTCTGATGAATCTTTTGTACGGCTAACTTATGCTTACATATAAATACCTTCTCAGTAAATAAAAATGTACTGTAGGCTTGACTTTTAGAGAAGCTGTAAAGCTTAGCATATGCGATGATCCCAAAGTCAATGCTGTAAGGCTTGCTTCTTCATCCATAAATAAAGCACATTTGCATCCATTCAGTCAAATTAGCTCCATATAAAAAGGTGGTTATAATTAGCTCCTCTTTCAGGTTCACGGTTAAAACTCAAGCGTGCCTGCCGTCTTGATTAAATCCACCATCGTCTTCCAATAGCTAGTGCTAATTCTTCCAAGGAAATATTCAGTTGAGGTGTTATTTTATTCTGCACTGCTGTTAGTTGTCTAATTTACGCCAAGTCCCTGCAGTGCTTTCCTTAAGCCATCCTCTTTGTCTTGCCTTTGAAATTTACCAAATCTTACAAGAAATCAATACTTAATTGATTATTCACTTTTCTGCAGCTTCAAACAGCAAGCACGCATAAGATCCTGGAGTAGTCACCCGATTTCCAATGCAGGAGGTTGCTTGGTGGCAGGGATCTGCAAGTATCCAACAGCAGGCATTCCACGGAGCTGTGCAGTGGCGTACAGTGCCAGCATCCAATAAAGAAAACGAAGATACTCTAACGAAGCAGGAAAAGTTCCCATGTGAGACAGATCCATATCAATGCTTTAAATAAAAAGCGGAGGCACTGGCTTTCAGATAGAAGAGCACCATTCTCTTTGCAGCTACCCCTCTGTTCTTTCCTTACCCTTTTCTTCCTATGGCACTGGAGTGGAATATCCAAAGTGCCACCGAACTCACAGAACTCCACGTCGGAACGGGGGTGAGGCTCGTGCTGTACCTCTGACATAGAATAAGGATGGCAAGCACGTAACATTACGAAATGTAGGACAAATTCAGGCGAGAGAGAGAGAGGGAGAGCAAGAGACAGATGGCGGATCTGGCTGGGAGCCAAAGCCAGTGAAATGAATTACATTGCTGAATAACTGTACAACCATTGATTCTGCCACTTGTTGCTGCATGGCAAAAAAGGGCCCTGACGTTGGCAGGAATCTCCTTGCGTGTCACGCATGCCGCAGATAACTTTTCACACGTAACTCGCTGCACCAACAGTGACACGCTACGTGTGTGTGTGTGTGTGTGAGAGTGTGTGTGTATGTGTGTGTGTGTATGAGTGTGTGAATGCGTGTGCCTGAGGGACAAAAGGAGAGAGCCAGCGTGTGTGTGGGGGGTGTGTGGGTATGTGCCTGCGTGCGTGGTGTGTGTGCCTGTGCGCGCGCGCGTGGAGGGGAAAACAATCACTGCAATCCAGCCATTTTGTTTAATGAAGAATGGAAGGCTGGCATTCAGAGACGTGGTTATGTGCCGCATATTAATGTGTGCTCTGTAGACATCCTCCCCCTTTTTAGATGAGTGGCACAGGAATGAAGCCCTCTATAGAGCAGCCACTGTGGGAGCAGGAGCTCACAAGGTAACATATCATCGCCGAACCTACGGACGTGGCACCCGCCACCCTGCAGAAGAACAAGTTGCTCTCGGATGAGGAGGAAAACCTGGTCCCATGGTTATGATGTTTGGGTGCTTTCGAAAAGATAGCCAGAGTCGAAGCAGATTGTTCAATAAATGCTTCGCACCCAGGATGAAGGGAGACATTATGGGATGCCCAGGGGGCTTTGGAAATCAAATACAATGTTTGAGTAGCACAATTTGAGGTACATTATAAAAAAGCAATTTGAATTGCCAATGAGGCGACACATATCTGCATGCTAATTAGACCTGTGTCAAGCTTAGTCTGCCGGGTTGTGTTGATGGCTAGGAATGCGCTTGTAACTCTGCTGAGAGATTGTTTCTGCATAAATTATCAGCTTTGTCCTACTGATCATTTTCTGCAAGCAAACACGAAATGTAAGATCAAAAGGCAATTCTGAAATTAAAATTATTGATTGATAAAGCCTAGATTTCAGAATCTAATTAGAGGAGGCACAAACAAAAGCTGATATTATTACAGATTGTGCCTGAGCTAGCAGCCAGATTGTGCAAGGCTTGTAATTTATCTTTGTTTATGCAGCCAGGATATTAAAAATGTAATTAAAATGGTAAAATGATCTGATCAGAAATAGCCACCTAGTGGCAAGTATATTATTTTAAATGGATTATAAAAACATTGATCTGTGCAAATAAAAGGTTTTTTTCATGACAAACATAGCAGCTCATTGAAATTTGCTGAGCAATTTGTCTTTTGCTAATAAGTTGTCTTTTGTGTTTTGTTCCATAGATAAGCAGCATCATTTATAACCCTCATTTGCACACTAATAAACATTCTGTTATTACAGGTGGTGTTGGGAATATCTTTCATAAATTATGGCATATGAAAATGGAAGAAAACAATAAACGTTTTTCTAGACACTCACTATATACATTTTGTAAAATTAGAATATTCATCTGACAGCAGCAGAAGTTGCTTATTAAATCACTCTATTGCTCTATTTAAACTATAAAATGGAAGAAATGGTAGAAACATTGTCAATATGTAATTCAGCTTCTTGCCTATTTTGGCTACTTTAAAATGCTATACAAAACACAGAGGGCCCAATTTACTAAGTTTGTGCAGATTCAATTACTAAATTTCATGGCTATAAAGAGGTCTTTGTGACTTATACATTTTTAACCTCATTTAGTACCTTTCTAGAGTTGCCAAGTGGATTAAGTATTAAAAGAACAGACTGTTTAATTGCACATAGTATAGAAGTGAGTTTTGAAATTTCTCTGCAATAGCGAGCTATGGACAGTGAAATGGCCTAAGGAAGTTCTGTAATATGTTAATGAAGCTAGATTACAAACAAAACCCTCAAACTATAAACAGTTTTTCAAGAAAAGATATTCAGAGGCTTGTAAGTTCATGAGCAGGGCTTAAGTCATGTATTTCTCCTTGTTTCAGATTTCCACATGAAACCACTATGGAAATGCTCAATTCCTTTTAAAGAAATTCACAATGTAGGGTCCTGTCAGCAGCTCTGGGGTCTTTTGTTAGGTGCACTTAAGATGCCAGATTAAATATTAATATGTGGTTAGAGTTGTGCTATTTTGCAAGCCCTGAAACCCTATTAGTAAATCATGATCTGGTGACTGATGCAAGAAATTTCAAGGCACCAAGACTGCAGATTGCCCATCAATCTGATGGATCACTAATTTTTACTAAATCAGGCCCTTGGACTTTTAGCTGTAAGCAGATGTATGTTTCATTGTGACGGGAAAAGCAGTCCAAATAACACAGCAATTTTCTGCACTGAATGTGTATCGTAACAGCCAGAGTTGTTTTGCATAATCAGTAAGTTATTTGAATACAAGTGTTCATTTAACTGGCTGTGCATAACTGATGCTGTTCTTGAAAAAAACTCCACATTTTGAGCTTGAAGAGAAAGTTGCATTATTTTCATAGAGTAGTACTAGGATTTGAAAACAGTGTAGTAGAGCTTCAGAGAGATGCTGAAGAGGAATGCCCAGGCAAAAGCAGCCACATATTCTCAGCCATCCCAAGGAGTTTTATCCCCTCAGTAGCCTTCATCAACTGCTGACAGTAAGTCATACATGCAGGGATGAGCAAAAACCAGGAAGGATCCTGAAGGATCAGGCAAAGGAAAATGGAACCCAGAAGAAGGGGTGGGAAACAGTCTGAGTAAAAATACTGGAAATACTATTAGATTATAAACTACTGATGTAGCGATGACATATTCATCATGACATATGGCACACTTAGATACATAGCTGAGTTGCAGCCTTCCTAACCTCTTTAGAAAAAAGAAACCACCTCTGAAGCCAAATCACACTCTTTATTGGCAATCTTTATGACATACAGATGAACTTGACTGCTAGTTCCTTATAATATGGATCTGAGCAACTGACTTAGGTATTTAATAATTATGAAGAGTTTCATGTGTGCAGATATTAGCATAGCATATATTGCCTTCCAATTAATATCTGTCTTTTCTGCTTTCATATCTCCTCTCTCTCTCACTTTTTAGCAGCCTGCTTACACTCATATGGAAGTCAGCATTAGAAAGAAACCTCTCAGTATCTTCTCTGCCACTGCTGCTTGACCAACATTGAGTAGTACAGGTCTGAAAGACTGATAAATCTTGCATGTATTTGTATCTTTTTCAGGTCGCACTCTTTAAACACATATACACACTGCTTAAAAGAAATCCCAATCTTAATCTGAAATAAAATACAATTAATAAATTCAAGCTTTTTTCACATGAAGTCTAGAATTATAAATCTTTACAATTAATATACTGAAATCACAACACATAGTATATGGTTTTGAAAAAAAAATACAGTGTACAATAATTCAAGGGTTTCCCAAGCTGATGGACAGTCTAAGAAAGTAGTGTTATTTTTGGTCTGGTGGCCATTTTTACTATTTTCAAATACTAAAGAATTTCTTTGATTTAAAGAAAGCTATCCAAATCAATAGGCCTTCTGGTATTGACATTGTGAAGTAATATGCAGCAACACCAACCATCCTGAAACATTCCAGTGGGCTTTTAATGTGAGTGAGAGTCTGCTGGGAGCAGCCTTCCTGACTGAGGCACATGGCGGGTGTTCTAATTTCCACTAAGCCCTGATCAATGGGAATTTATTACCACTTAGACAAATAGAAAGCCAGACTGTGCAAAACTGAACTGCCTTGAATGTACAGCCCACATCAGAAAGATACATAAACATTAAAAGTAAAGCAGAATAGTAAAACAATATGTGGATGTTTTTAGACCTCCTTTTCCACAAAGCCAATGCTTTGCTACTACATCCTGTGAAAATACAAATGCTGACAGAAGAAAGCTTACACGTACTTAATGGCGTTCCAGAGTAATGTACGTATCATTGTTTCTGAACTGTAGTTCCTATTGTGCTCTGTGTCGTGCTCATGTGTTTACCAAATGTCAGAAACCTCCTTTACAGGCTATTAATACTATTGTGGTCCCTTCAACATGCACACAAATACACCCACTCCCCTCACCACACACACTTTCTCACTGTCCGTCAATATGTTGCAAAGTCTGTGTTTCATTACCATATCATATGGAGTATTGATTCCTGTTCCAAGCTAAATAATGTTGTTTTTTAAAAGATCTTTTACCCTTTAAGTGGGGTTTGCTAACCGAACCACAGACTGGTAACAAAGATGTATTGTAGTATTTGATATCCTGTATACTTTGGCAAATGCCAAAACCAGTAACTTAGGCAGAAATTTCAATGCTTAATTCAAGTTTTACAAACAGGAAAATTGTGCACAATATCCAGTTACATACATTCCATGTTAAAAAGGGAAAAATTCCTAATAGACCTTTCAACATAATAAGATTCAGGCCTAAGCAGTAAAGAAAATGATTACCAGTTTTATTAGGCTTCAACTAGTTTCCATACCAGATCTAAAAAGTCACCTTGCACCTATATAAAGAGGATTATTTATGTATTTATCTGTACATGTGTCCTCATCAGCCACTGTATACAATCATTTCATGGCATTCAGATTCAGCACAAAAACATCAAGGCCTAAGTACAAATATTATTACTATAATGGGTTTTCATTTCTAGAGGTCATCAGGGGAAGGGATTAATTTTGCTTGCTTTATTGTACACACAGAACAGCACACAGGGTCATATTACAATGCCTTTATCTGGAAAATCACATTCAGCTGTAATGAGAAAGGCTCTTCTTAAAACAATTTTACAATTTTGGGTGTATTAGCTGTATTTTATTTCATTTCTATATTGCTTTCCTTTATGCACATTTATTTCAGATATCATTAATTGATTGTTAGTGATATTTACAATAATGATTTCAGATCTCTTTTCAGTTTGTTGAGAACTCTTTTCCTTTTTAAGGCTCCTTTTATCAATAGTGATATGAAAACATTTTGCATCTCTGGGTTGCTACAGAATTTTTTTCAAAAATTGTATAGAGAACTTAAGATCTGTTTATCTTGACAAAAGTACTCCAAATAGATTGCATTTCCTTACAGATTCTATATATCATACAGAAAATAGTCTTTGGCCAGTAATTTATAGAAAAAACTTTATTTTCCCCTTGTTTCTCAGAAAACATCTTATTGAGAGGTATTATTTAAATGAGACAATAACGTTGTCATCTATGCTGCATGAAACTGGTAGTCTGCTACACAAGGAACTTATTTTTTGCTGAAATCAGATGTTGTGAAGCAGGTTTTGTAAAGGCAAGGTCAGAGGTAGCAGAAAACCAAAAGGTCATGTCATGCAATGCCCAGGTATAAACAGATGTAAACAGTATCCATTTAATGCATATGGAATTAACAGTCACATTTTAGCCAGGGACAGATGATATTTTTAGTCCATTTTCAACCAGAGTTTGAAAGCTCTGTGCATGAACAACAGATCCAACAGAGCCAGGATGGTCTGTTCCTAATAGGACAAGATAAGAAAAAGAGAGAAAAAAATTAAATAAATATGGAGAAAAGTGAGATGAGAAACAAAATAGAACCACTGAATAAAGACACAAATACTGGAACCAAAATGAAGAAAAGGGAAAATGTAATGCCTGTAGCATTTCCTATATGTCTTACAGAGATTATTCGTTTGCATGGGCATAACTTGTACTTTTTTTACTATGGTTGTTAAAACCTAGATTTTGCACAAGTTAGAAAACTTATTTTCCCTTGGTTTCATCAAGAGGGATAATAGAGGTAGACTTGAGACTACTGGGAAAATAGATTGACCAATGTGAAGAAGTTCCATGAGTATTCCCAGTCTTAGCATTAATATTCTTTGATTTATTTTGTCTTGGCAAAGGAGATGAGAAGCTGAAGTGTCTGGAGATGTCATGATTTCAGAGGCCAAAACTGTCCAAAAACCTCACAAAAGCATTGGAGAACTGTACAGAGCACATTATTGGCAAGAATATTGAAGTGTGCATTATTAGCAAGATAACACACATTGTACCTTTCCCTATTGCACCCTCTTTCTGGCTTTGCAGATTAGCAAGGAACTCATTCTCCTGGATACACTCACTTTGGAGCATTGAAGACAATCCTTGAGGAATACACATGGAAGATGCTGGTCACTGGAATCATGAGCACAACTGAAGGAACAATGCATCCTTTCCCATTCTAGCAAGGATGTCTCAGGGACTCTATTGACTCTGATGCATTGAGACTATTTCTCACTCTGGCAAGGTTCCATTAAATATGCAACACTTTTTTGCCATAATACAGCCAAACAAAATTCTTATTGCTGTGTTAAACTCCATAACTCCTCTTTGTGTAAGAGGCACACAAACAAGTGCCTCAGGTGTATCTGCTTTCAGTTATAACTATAACTATAGCATATTCATGCTATAGTTATAGTTATATGAATATGTTATGAATATGAATATAGCATATTCATAGAACTTGCAGTCTACATATTTGTCACTACCTTTACAAAATATGTGTAATAGAAGTACAGTTTGTTGTAAACCAACATAGGCCTAAGACTGTAAAGGCTTTGTACATTCCTGAGCAAAATATGGATAGGAAGGAAAAGATGATAAATAATTGCTTTCTACATTCATGCAAAACAATGTTAAAGGCCCAAATTCTGTCTAAACTTGCAGATATTAAATACTGCCATTAAGTTAAATTGTATGAACCAATGGTAAAGAACCTCATGAATAATCCCTTGCTTCTCCAAACAGATATATTTAATATCAAGAGAAGAAACAAATACTGATACACTAGAAAAAATTAATAAAAGTAACTTTGTTGCAGAATATATGATTTTCTTCACTGGAGTTTTTATACGCAATCACATACACATGCATAGGGAAAACTTCTATATAACCCTTACCTTTCCTATTGCTTAAAAAATTCTTTAAAATTCAAGAGAAGTTTCTGAATAAGTCAAAATCAAAAACATTTAAGATGCTACTTGAATCAGAAAAAAGAAATACAATACAAAGAAGTGAGTTAAGTCCTGAGTTTTTAGGATTTCTAATATTTGTCTTCAAATATATTGTTTTTCCAAGCCAAAGGGATATGGACCCCAATCTTCTGGGTATTCAAAAGTACCACTTGAAATTTAAAAGGTCTGATTCCATTTGACCCTGGATCTTAGAGTACAACAGCACTTTGTTGTACTACACATTGCCTCACACTGAGATCCCAAATACCACCATTTTAAGTCACAGAAGATTACTCCAGTGGGCTGGAGTCTACTGGTTCCCCAGTGGTTGATTTTTTAAGCCAGGGCTTTACTCTCCCCCTCCAGTTATTGCTCTTGGATGAGGTAGAGGAATTGTGTATTTTCTTAATTAGGAATTCTACACTAATTTGGACTGGAAGGGACATTCTGATGAAGAATTTCCTATTGATCAAAATGAGCCTCTGACCCATTCTATTCAAGCACGGCCTTACAGTCCCTACAGTGCAAGGCTGTGAGAACACAGGGAAACCCAGCACCCCAAGCTTGCTTGTTTAGACATTGTGAGCACCTGGAAAGAGACACAAAGGCCAATTGACATAGTCCCACCCTTTATATAACTTAACTCTTTTATCCTCCAGAACAAGGTGGCTGCCGTCAAAGTGTCTGTTCAAGACTTTCACTCACTCATGCTGACTCCTCATCTAAAATCCAAATTTTAGATCAGGAGTCCAAAAACTAGCTGGCACAGGCCCAAGTCAGGCTGAGGAACATCCTAATGCTTGAACAGTAGAAAGAGTAGTATTCCAGAGCTAGGGAATGTTCCTAGTCTCTGTTTAATTTTAGGGTGTACATTTAGATTGCAAGTCTTTCCATTAATGAAAGTGAGCTTTGAACTAGGTCCTTAGAGGGCCAGTGACATTTGAAGGATTGGAGAGGGATACAATCAATTTAAATATGCATTTGCAAATTTACAAAATATTATAAACATGTAAGTTAGTGCATCTATCTTCATCAGACTCTAAAGCTGTAAATACCAGATGTCATTTATAGATTAAATGATTTTCCTAAATCTAATTTTATATTAATATAAACCATTTGTCAATTCAACATGAAGGCTTCTATTTTAAACATTCAAAAGTCATGGCATGCAAACGTTAGGGTTATCCCAGTGATTCATTGCACAAAATGTAAATTAAGGTATAAACTGAACAGAAAAATTAGTTTGCCTATGAGCTGTTGAAATAGATCTGTAACTGACCTGCTCACAGCATTTTCACTTCTGGTAAAAAAACCTCTCAAACCCACAGTTTCAATAACCTGGTCTCCTGTAAATGCAAAAACCTAGCTCACAGTAAACAGAAACTCAGCGTGTGCAAGAGGTCTTTGACAGGTGAATTCACAAGGAAAAAATCTGCTTTTTAAGGAGGAGGTTTTCTTTTCATGCTTACCTTCAGTAGTGATAGTTTCCAATGGTTAAACACCCTGTACCTTTATCTTCATTATCACTCAAAAGAGCAATCTTTTCAAAAGATCTTCAAAGTAACTGGCAAAGATAACAAGTGTGTCAATAAGTATTTAAAGAATTTGAAGGAAACCATATCATCTATAGATAAAAAGCAAGTTTTAAAAAGCAAATCTTAAAAATCTGAAAATCTAAAAATATAATTGTTTATGAGCAGAGTTTTGCCAGCCTTAGCCTTAGCTTGACTAAGGCAACTAAAATGTCAGGCAAAAGATAATGAAGAACACGTTTGTCTGTTCCCCAGGGGCCAGCTCCATGGAGCTGAATCTTAAATTCAGGAACTTTCTTGACCACCAGGATTTTCCTTCTTCACTAGTCAGTATCAGCACTGCAAGAACTCACCTTTCTCAAAGTCTTGGCTTTGAAACCAGCGTTTATTCCCCCCCACCACTTTTAAGAGAAAGCACCTTTTTATGTACATATGACTACAGGCTAGTGACACCCAAGGAGCAATACCAGCATTATTCTCCCAAGACAGGATTAATCTCTTTTAGCATACAGTGGCAGAAGAGTTCTTCTGTTATGGGAGCTCCTTGTTTTGAATAAGGTGTTCCAGTGAATAGAACTCATATTTTCTCAATTTTGCTCAATTATAGCAGAAGAAGAAGAAGACAATATAGTTAAAAGTAAGGTGAAGACAGGATGGAAGGCAGAGGAAACAGAAACTCTGATAAAAATACATGACAGAAACTGTCTAAGCTAAGCCTTGACTTCAATACACTTGGAGTTATGAAAAAATTATGCATTTCTCAGCTTTATGTGCACATGGAAACATATTTTCATTTATAATTTTATTATTTGATTGCAGGTATCAAAGTGTCACTGAAATTTGGAGCTAAACCTCTCTTGTTTGTTCTTACTGAGGCTGAAGTTTGATGAAATAACTGTGTCTACAGATAAATGGAATGAGCACTATTTTTCAAAATAAATGTATTTTACATCTTTTTCAGTATTAGCATATTCCAACATTTGGAGTTCTTACAGAGGGCTTAGATGTCAGTAATTCATGCATCCAAGACTTCGGAAATTCTGTTTACTTTTTAAAATATTAAGCAAAGCATTACCAGATTTTCATGGCATAGACATTTATCCATTGGGATCTCTCCGTAGGTCAAAAATTGCAAAAATCCCTCAAACCAAAACCTGAAACATAAAACTAAAAGACAGGAGACACATCTAAATATTTCTGCCTTGAAGAAGGAATGTGTTGCATCACATACCCTCATATAAAATCTATTCACTGCATATAAAAACTCTTTGATTTTTAAAATATCCATATGAAATTATAAAGCATTAAAAATTTTATATACAACAGAGGATGCCAATATGAAATGAAGATCTCAACCAGGACCTGCTTTAAAGAAATATATAAATACCTTTATATTTTCATTCATAAAAATATCAGCACAGGAGATAATAAAATTCATTAATGTACAATGCTTTGTGTTGCATCTCAAATGACTTTCACAGCAAGAAACTTGCCCTACTCCAATCCAAGAATATGTGGTAATAGTAAACAGAAGGAAGTATAAAATCAAATAATTTCTACCACATCATTACATAATTTATTCTCAGTTATACCTTGAGAAAGATTTTAAATATTCAATTAAGATGCAGGTGAATTTTTCAAAAGATTATTTCAGTTCTTATCACCTTTGGATGCCTGTTCAAAATGCTTACTGCTAAGGCATTAAATATATCCTCCCATACACTCACATTGACTGTAGGGTAAATGAGTCTATGATGATTTCTCCCTCTAAGGCTCAGAATATTAAATTAAAATCTAAAAGAAACAACAACATTGTTTTCATATAACCAGGGGCCTCTCCAAACATAAAATAAATTTGCATAGTTCCAGACTCACTGAGGAGGAAGTAAGTTGACTTATTCACATAAAAGCTGCAGTGATGTGTTCTTATACTCTGTCAAGCTACAAATATGAAAATTTGCCTAAAGCGAAATTGGATTTTATCTATCCATAGCGTTAACATAAAACAAATCTACATAGCTTTTTATCGATATCACAGTCTGTTTGTCTTACTTCTAAACTTAGACAACATTATTCTGACAGCACATTGCAGATTTTTTGTTTCTTGCTTCATCTATTGCTTAAGGACAATATATTCTGTGGGCTTCTTACCTTTTAAAGTGATACCTGCTTCCAATTAACAGCATTTCAACACAAAATTGCTCAAGAGTAACTAGACAGTGTTGATCCAAGCCTTAAGTCATTACTTGAGCATGTATTTCAGCATAGGGCTTTCTCTTTTTTTTAACTGAGTAAAGACTGCAAAGTGTTTGGGGTTTGTTTGGAAATATTAATAGCTAGCAGTTCTCTTGTTCATTAGAAAAGGCTTTCCTTTTAAAGTTTACTCCATAAATTACGTGAATCCTTCTCTACCATGGCCAATGAATTAGAACCATATTGTAACATTGCATCATCTATATAGCTGTAAAATAGATTTAATACAATCAAGAATAAATCATTGACAAATAAATTCAATAAACATGGTCTGAAGACTGAGTCTTGGCGGACATCACAGTCCATTTCAGCCAAGCCAGATTCCTTGCCCTGTACAACAAATCTGTGTGCTCTTCTTGTTAAACAGTCATGAATCTGAGCTAAGTGACTTATCCTCAAGAGCATCATAGCATTATCTCCTCTAATCAGCATTCTAGAGTCAATCAAATCAAATGCTTCTGTGAAAATTACAAAATACAGTGCCAATTCTTTGATTCTATCCAATGCCTGGTCACTGGAAATATTATTATTAAAGTGCCAGATGCCAAAAACTACTCCTGGCACACACACCAGAAATGAAAGTCAGACATCTAAAGCCTTGGGTTGAAATTCTGCCAATTAGAGGGACAGGAAGAGCAAAAGCCAGGATATTTT